GAATATGGGGCAGTAATGCCTTCCACTTGTGAAAATATAGATTAACATAGGGTGCATTTGGTAAGTGAAATAAATCAGGCACAGAAAAGTACTTACAAGGTGTCACTTTTTTTTTTTTTTTGGTACCAGGGATCGAACTTGGGTCCTTGCGCTTGCACAGCAGGTGGCGAAACCACTGAGCTAAATCCCCGGCCCAAGATATCACTTTTTATGAAATAAAAAAATGTGGATTTCTGGGAAGTACTGAGTTAAATTTAACAGGGTGGTGGCTGTAGTGTGAGTGAGGAAATGTTTGTCAAAGGCTGAAAATTTTCCATTATATAGAAGAAATAAATTCAAGAAATCTGCTAGAATATATAGTGAATACAGTTAACAAGCATATATCATTAATTGTAAAACTGCTAAAATATATTTAAAATTATCTTACTACAAAATAGATAACTATATGAGATAATGTTATAATTTCCTAGATTTAGCCACTCTAACATTTAAAAATTGATGGATTTATATAATTTGCAATTGCTTCTCTTTTGTACTTAAATTTGTTTAAAATAATTTGAATATTTACCCGACCTCTAGTCCCACTTTATATCATATATAATGAATGGATTTGAAGGCATAATTGTAACAAAACTGCAGCAAAAATCCCTAGAAATTCATAACAACATAAGCATTTGACTTTTCATTAAAAATTCTCCAAAACTCTGTGAACCAGTGGAGTTCATTTTATTTTACACTCTCAGGATGTAACAGAATTTAATAACTTCAGGTAGGACAATGTTTGCCAGTGTCATAATACTAAATGTAAATTGTTATAATTATACATAATATTATAAGTATAATGCAAGAAACTAGTGTTTATATACCTACGTTTGCTTTTGTTATCTTTTAGCAATATTTTGCAGGTATTAACTCCATGGGATTTCTTATCAGCTCCTCCTGTTAATGTCACAATCTGTTGGATTTATTAGGTGAGATCAATGAGGAACAGAAACAATGATTAACATGATATAGCTGGAAAATGTAATTTCAAGTTCAGAATTGAGATGTCTTTCACTTTTCTGTTTTTATCCAAGATTGGCTGTCCTTTTCTGGGATTCTTTTGGTTCCATATGAATTTTAAGATTGTTTTATTCAATTCTGTGAAAAGTGCTGTTGGCATTTTGATGGGGGTTGTGTTAAATCTATATATTAACATTAGAAGTATGGCCATTTTAACTATTAGGTTTTGCCCATTCCCATTCAGGAACAGGAGATACATTTCCATTTTATGCTGATCTCTTATAAAAATTACAGGGAAGATCAGATCTAACACCAAAAGTCCTAAAGCTATTTAATAAAATCTAAAGGGAAGGAGTACTCCAAAAGTCATTCCTATAAGCTGTAATTATCCTGATTCCAAATCTGGGTAAGTAGGCAACAAAAAAATGAACTATAGATAAATCTCTCTAACTAATGCAGATGCAAAAATACTCAACAAGATACTGGTAAACAGAAAACAGAATGAAACATACCATCAAAAAGATTATACATCGTGATCAAGTGGGCTCCATTCCAGGGATTTAAGGATGGTTCAAAATATGCAAATCAGTAAATGTGAGCCATCATGTAAACAGAAAGAAGGGCCAAAATGACATGATCATTTCAATAGATGCTTTCTGCTTTTCTAGCCTTTGACAAAATCCAACATCCTTTCATGATAAAAACACTGATGAAAATAGGTATAAAAGAACCTTATCTCAATCTGATAAAAGCAATTTATGACAAACCATCTGTCAAAACATATTAAATGGAGAAAAACTGAAAGCTATCTGTTAAAAATCAGGAATAAGACAAGGATATTGCCTATCACACTCCTGTTCAAAATAGTACTTGAAACATTAGCAAAAGCAATTAGGCAAGAAAAAAAATAAATGTGATATGTATAGGACAGGAAAAGTTCAAAACATTATGTGGACGTGATTTGACCTTCTACACAGAAGACTCAAAAAAATCCACCAAACTTTCCTGAATTAATAAACAAATTCAGCAATGTATGAGGATACAAAATAAACACGCAAAAATTAATAGCATTTTTAACAACAACAATGAACCCACCGAGAAAGAAATTTGGAAAAAATACCATTCACAGTGGCACCATGAAAAATTAAATGCTTAGGAATGACCTAACCGAGGAAGTGAAAGACCTCTACCACAAAGCTATAGCATTCTGAAAAGAAAAAGTCTTTGAAACTGAAAATGAGGTTCAGCATATGATTCAACAATTGAGCGCTTTTCAGTGGTGGGGAAGCTATGGCGCACAAGCTACAGTGAGCACACAAAGCCCTTTCTGTAGGCATGTCAGCCAAGTTGCCCCAGGAGGCCAAGTCACTCCAGCCTCACCCCTGCAGCTGAGCATTTAGTTTTAATTATAGTGATGGCACTTTGCATTAAATAAGTGGGTTTTGGGCTGCATGTTAGGCATGTTTGTACTTTGCCCCACTCAAATGAGAGATATCACATGCTAATTAAACTTATGTGGAGAGACCAGCGAGTGGATGTTGAGGACCTCGGCTGCATGGAGTAGTGTTCCAACCCACCCATGTCCCGCCCACACCCCTCCCGCAGCCTCCCCCCAGCAACCAGCTTAGCCTCGCGGGTGCTGCAGCACTCCCCTCCCCAACTTCTGGCCTCCTGGCTATGCCAGTACCTGGTTCCAGACTACAGAGGCACAGGGGGTCATCAAGGCCATTGTCCTGAGCTCCAGAAGATAGAGCAGAAGTGAACAACAGAAAGAGGGCCTCTCTCAGGCTCCTTGATGAAAATTGAAGCCCACTGGAAAAGTGAAGAGAATCTCTGCAATAAAGGCACACCAGACCACCGTACTTGGTAAGTTGAAGGGATCATCACCTCCCATCGGAACCTGGACTATCTTCAGGGGAAGGGCAGCTGAAACCTGCAGTAGAACCTTGTAGAATTCAACTCTGCAGGACGACAGGGAGCTCAACTTGGGCCTTGCAGCCAGAAATCTGCCTGAATCTCTGGTCTGTGACTGGCTTGCTAAGACCCATTAATTTATATCTGCACACTGCTGCCCACATTGTGACAACAGAGACATACCCTGAAGGCGGCTCTTCATTTTTATTTTTTATTTTACTTATTTATTAATTAAGTTCTTTTATTGGTACATTGTAGGTATACAATACGTTTACATTTGTCATTGGATGCTTGTACCTGTACATGATGTATCTTGGTTGTTTTTTCCACAATACCTGTGTGCCCTTCGCGCCCTCTACCCTTCCCTATTTACATTGACATCATTTCCATTTTTTTCTTTTCTCATAATTTTTCCTTTCCCTTCTTTCCTTTCCCCTTCCCCTCCCGTCACTCCTACCCCTTTGGACTTTTCTTCCTATTTCAAATTATCAAATATTCATTTTAATCATTTTAACCCTTATTTTTACACTATCAGTTTCTCATACTAGAGAAACCATTCGGTATTTACACATGTGTGTCCTATTTATTTCACTTAAGAGTATGGCCTCAACATGCATCCATTTAGCTATAAATGACTCTAGTTTCCCATTTTTAAAATTTATATATTAATTGGTACATTTTAGGTATACAATACTTTTACA